TGGGAAGAGTCGTACAAACTTGAAACTTTCTGCAACGACATAAAAAGGCTTGTTCTGGGCTTTGGCGCACACGGCCATCTGGTTGGTTCCAATCTGGAGAGTCAGAGAAAAAGTAGAAGGATGAGATCTTACAGCATAGTCGAAAGCGTGTGAGGGAACATAATATGTGTAAGTCTGGCTTTGGAATTAGGATCTTTTAAAAAAGATGACAGAATAGACTTTTCTCTAAAGATACACAAATGGCCAATATACACATGCTCAAAAGATGCTCAAGATCCTCGTCATTTGGCAAACACAAGTCAAAACCACAATGAGATACTACTTCACACCTACTAGCATGGCTATAATTAAAAAACCAAAATAACAAGTGTTGGCAAGGATGTAGAGAGACTGGAATGCTTGTACAGTGTTGAGGAGAACGGAAAAGAGTGCAGCTACTATGGAAAAGTCTGGTGGGTCCTTGGAATTATCAAGTGACCCAGAAATTCCACTCAGGAACGTACCCATAGGAACTGCGAACAGGAACTCAAATAGATAACTCTGCACCCATGTTTGTAGTAGCATTATTTACAAGAGCTGAAACGTAGAAACGACTCAAGTGGACAGGAGTTGGTGGACAAACCAATGTGCTCTCTGCGCACAATGGAATGTGATTCAGCCGTAAAAAGGGATGATGTGTGGACACCTGCTACAACAAAGATGGGCTTCGAGAACGTTGTCGTGCTGCGTGAAATCACGCCCCTGAATTGTACACGTGAACACCGAATGTTATGTATATTTCACCATGCAAAAAACAAATGATCATGAAATCTTTCCATGTTAAGCAAGGAATAGAGAAATTTTAACACCACACTATATTGATGTCAAATATGCCCAATTAAAAAAAAACCAACAAACCCAATTCCAGTTAAAACAGTTTTTGAGAAAAGATAAACTGCATTCTCATGATTCACATAGATCAAAGAAATGTGACCAAAATTTGGCCACTACAGTGGCCTCTGGGGACTGGGAGACAATTTGCTGCGACAGTGAGGTCCGGAGGCCACGCGGGGCTGGATGAGCGAACCGTAACATCTGGTACCGCCAGGATGTGGGTCAGTGACCCCTCCCCGCCTGGAGCGAGGAGCTGTGGGGAACTGACGTTCTTACCTTGTTGATAATGCCCCCATTTTCAACAACTCCTTCAGCACCAACTATGACAAGATCCACTTTCTCCATGATATAACTAAAGAAATTTAAAAAAAAAATTATGCTCTTTTCTTGGCTCTTACGAGTAGCAGCATCACCTGCAAAGATTAATACTCCATTTTCACCACCGAAAGTTCCTCTCCTCACTTTCTTCAAAAGAGAGCACTTAACCCATGAGACCACCCCGGGCACTGTTGGCGGCTTTGCCAGCAGGAGCATGAAAACGCACTGTGATCACAACCCCCCCAGTGAATGTGCCCTCCACACAGCCGCCCAGCACACGTACACGTACAGGTGTGGTGACCGACGCGAGGATTTCGTGACCTGGTATTTATCCTCACTACGTGTGGTACGCTCTATTTTCTGATCTACTTCAATACAAGAAACAAAAATTTAAGAACCTGTTGTGATCCGAAGTTGGAAGAAATGTTATGTAATTCAACAATCTTTCAGCTAGGGTGAAGGCCAATTTACCTCTGAAAATGAGCAATTAAGTAGAATTCTTCAAAATGCTTTCTTTTGAACGCATTCCTAATTTCGTTAATCATCTGCCTTATGTGTTTGTTTTTTTTTTTCCCCCTCGAGGGACTTTTAGTCCTGTTTTCTTTTGTGAGGTACACTGACAATTCACAGAACGTGCGTCCTCAGTTTTAGAAGCGAAGTTGCATGAGTAAGTCAAAGAATCCCAGAGTGCCACTGAGGACGGCCCATGCCTTCCGCTGAGGATGGAGCACTGATTACGTGTGCTGACCCTAACCCGGCTTTTGCACCTTGCTCTTAAAATGCACCATAAGGGACTCTGGGTGGCTCTGCTTGTCTGCCTTCGGCTCAGGTCATGATCCCAGCGTCCTGGGATCGAGTCCCACATCGAGCGCCTTGCTCAACGGGGAGCCTGCTTCTCCCTCTGCCTGCCGCTCCCCCTGCTTATGCTCTCTCTCTCCCTGACAAATAAATAAGATCTTTAAAAAAAAGATAAAATGCACCGTAAGACTACATAAATGACTCCCATTCTCTGCAACACCCTACAGCTCGTCTCCTGCATATACCGTCAAGACCTTTTCATGAGCTTGCTGGTTTAATGCAGCCATCAATTCGGATGCAGAACATTACCCAGGGCAGTTTTATGAATGGGATTCCAACCTTCAATCGGAAACCCTGCTCCAAGCCAATCCTGGGAGTGGGTGACGACAAGTAACGGTGCTCAGGGAAGATGGAAGCTTACCCAACAGCAGCATCCAGGACCACGGTGACAGGGACGTTGAGGTGGTAGAGAGCTCTGGCCATTTTCTTACTGGAAAATGACATTTTGAGAATGTTAGAGAAAGTCCAAGAAAGTCCCGTAGTGGCATATGATGAGTCATTTAATTTGGACAATGGTAAATCACATTAGCTTGAAACTCAGTTCATACTCAGGGATTAAGGGGCGTGTCCCAAGACTCTGGAATAAGGAAACAAGAATTTGGGTTCTTTAGAAGAAACTATGTGTTTCAGGAAAACTATATTCTTGGGGACTCTGTGTAGGAGATGCAAATTCAGCAAAAAAGGAGACAGTTTTTTTCTTTCATTATCTTCTGGATGGAGATGTGAATTATCTACTCCTTGATAAAAATCTTTCCATTGACATATCTATTGCTGTTCCTCTGATTTAACTCCTAAAGAAACACCCTAGATCCTGTACGGTGGCCTACTGCCACTGCACAGAGAATTTTCTTCGGGGGCAGGAAAAGGCACAAAGGCAAGGCTGAGTAATTGGCCAGTCGCGGGCCATGTTCTGGGGCTTCCTACCCAGGGCCTAATCCTTCGTTTGCTCTTTAAAATAACTGCTGGGCCCAGAACCAAATGGAATGATACTTGCCCCGATAAGTCAGGCTGTGACTCTGTGATGTACACACTGAAACGCTTCTTGGCCACCACTGCTGCCTCCAAAACTCTCAGGACCACTCTGGAGTA